GTTTTTTTTTTCTTCTTCCTGAGTCACACCCTCAGAAAATGGTTTCTAGGTTTCTAAGATGGCTATGCTTATGCTAATTTACTAATCTTACTAATGCTTAGATTCTACAAGGACTTGTGCCCCAAATTTACAATGGAAAACCCCCTGGGGACTCCTTGATAAGCACGACTCATGGCGCAGGGGTTCATTACCCTGCCCAGACTTACCAAGGGCCCACCACTTGCTGGTTACAACCGCAGAGATTTAGTTCATTTGCATGAGCATCTTTTAAGTAGTAGGCCCTAGAGCTATGGGGTCCACACCTAAAGAACCTGGAAGACCCTGTACCTGTACTATTACCTTGTGAGAGGTGGAGCAGTGGCACAGAGCTGGCTCAGCCCTGGGCTGTGCCAGGCATATAATTCTTTCTCAGTGCTTGCTGTGTGTACAGGGCCAGAGAGCTGGGATGGAGTCTCCTTCTCTTCTCTCCCAGGCCTCACGCCACACAACAGCATGACAGCTGCTCCAGGGCACAGGCCACAACCACCAGAGTTGTGTCCTGTGGTGCTGAAGTCCTAGGTGAGGGGTTGCACGTATGCAATTCATACAGCAGCACGAGTGGCTCCCACCATCAGACCTGAGCTGTACATGACAAAGCCCCACTTCTTCCAAGTCACTGGAGAGAGCTGAAATGAGCCAGGGGATAGGAACTCACCCAGAGCCTGGGAAACCTTCGATCATGGGAGATCGTGTGCAGGGGCAGGAGCAAGAACTCAGGCTCACCAAGTTTGGTGTTTCCAGGCCCAGGCACAGAGTTATCCCGGGGGAGAGGTGGGCGGTTACCTGGGGCCCAGATTCCTTTGGCCAATGCTCAGCTTGGCCTCTGGGAAGGGCCCTTTTGTCTTCGCTCCCTGGGCTTTATTACAAAGTAGTAACTGAAGAGAAATATGAAGGGTCAGCAGCTGTGAGGCTCAAGGGCAATTTCTGACCCTAGTGTCAGAAACTCAGGACAGAGAGTCATTGTTTGTCCTTCAGTTCTTAAAGACATCATCAAAAAGAGAGTTATTTGGTTCTTCTGATTATGGGAAGAGAGAATTCCTGCAGAAAGTTAAAAAAATTAAGGAGAGGGGAGGGATAGGAATGGGCGAAGCTTCAGATTTTGCCTCATGGGGAAACTTAACAAGTTGCAACATGCAGGTCACATGTAAGCCTGCCTGGAGACAGGGAATGGACTTGGGAACTGAGATATTCCTTCTTCTATGTCTAAGGCTACATCTACGGGAACAGCCATAATGACACGACCAACCTCACAGGACACTGATGCCGCTGCTCACACTGTCCAAGGGCTCCGTGTGCCTGCCCCTCCCCGACATCACCATGTGGCCATGAGGGCACCGGTTGCATGCTGAACAGCATCCTTCCTATGAGGACCAAACCTGTCTGTCCCACTGAGTGAGGGTGATTTTGCAAACCTCAAAGGTAGAACGTGTGATCTCGCTGGTCAATCTCTGTATTCTATCCCGTTTGTGCCACAGCGACTGGTTTAGGGCTTGAGTCATGATACAAGCCCAGCAAATTAGAGTCCTTGCTGGGAATTTTCTGGTGACATTCTGGGGGAAAGCAGTTTCTCCCTCTGGGATGGTAAGCAGTCAGAACTCTGAGAGCCTTTGCATGAGCTGTTCTGGAATCAGCTGGATCCCCCCTTGGCTTGTACAGCTTCTTGACACCTTCAGGCTTCACTCAGCACAGGCTGGGCTTCTACAATCCAGAGCTGGGACCATGGTCTATGCTATTACTTTCCCTTTTTTTTTCACCTAAGATTGAGAAAATTGCCTATAGTCACACTGTGAGTAAGTGGGGAGGTGGGATCCTAGTGTTAGCCAATTGGTCATGAACAAAACTGGGTATCACATCACTGTATCCAACCAGAGCACACCAGCCAGCTGTGCCGTGCACTTCCCACTGAACCTGGGGTGACCAGGGGCAGGGTGGTCCTCCAGCAGCTGGGTAGGGCTCCCCAGAAAGTCAATTTCTGTGGAGTCAGAAGTGGAAGGAGATAGATGTGACTCCCAACTTTTTGGAGCTCAGTGGCAGCAGGAGAGCATCAGCAGCTCCGCTGATGTGAGTGAAGGGAGGGTGGGGACAGAGACTCAGCTCTTTCCCTGGATGGCAGTCTTCACTTGAAAAGGAACTGCTGCCAGACCCTGTCAGATCTGGTTGGCTCCCTTTTAAGTGCCCTACATCTGTAGACATTAAGACGTTACCCCAAAAGAAGCTAGGAGTGTATTAATCTGTTTCACCAAAGAGTCAGCCACTCACATTACATTATACTAAGACAGATTTTGTAGGCAACTGAGAGATCCAGAAAACACCTGCTAAACAAAATCAAAATGAATGTAAACAGAATGCAATTCTTGATAGCTTTAGTTCACCCAGATGCAGAGAAGTATAAAGGGGCTCCTAGAGGCGTTGCCAATTAGGAGCTAATTCCAAGGGTTTTCAGAAAGGGAGGCTCTAGTTACACACTCAAGACTGGCAGGTCATGTTTATTTAGGAGATTTGCATTGCTAAGGAGTCAGAGCCCCCAGGGCTGTGTGTGTGGCTGTCACTTCTCTCTCTTTTTCCCTGATGACAGCAGCATCCTCTTCTCAGGTCTCTCTCACAGCCCTGCCAGAAGCCAGGCCAGAAGCCTGGCACATGTGAGTGAGCCACCTTGGGAGGGTGGGCAATGCAATGTGACATTCGTGCCTACCCATAAACTCACAGCCTCTAATCACTGCACAATCACAGACATCTGGAATAGTTTATAGATCGCCCCAAGTTCCTAAGAGATGTCTGACAAAGCCTGAATTATCTCCGCCACTTGCTGAGCTCACTCAAGTGTTCTCTTGTGGCTATAATTCAAAGTGATGGGATCAGTTAGAGAAAAGTACTGGTTTGAGTAGATGAACTGTGGCAGTCACAATCAGTGCCAGCCCTAGGAGTGGACACTGGAGTGTCTTGGAGAGGTAAGGTTGGCACCTTTTGCTGAAGCATCAGAAAAAGTTGAAATTAAATTGCAGCTGTCTAGAGGGGGGTGTTAAAACACCTGCAGTGGAAAGCAGGTGAAGATGTAGCCATCTCTCCTTCTCCATGCAGCTAGCACAGGTGGGTCCCAGGGCTGGAGGCGATTGAAGGACTTCCCTGAAGGAGGACGGCCTTCGTCCAGCCAGGGCAGCCATGTGCCCTTCTCAAAAGACACCCTACCAGTCTTGCAGTCCTGCCACAATCTTGGATACTACGTGTTTTCCTCCAGGTTCCCCTGAGAGTGCTTCCCACAAATCTAACTTTGAAGCAAAAATCCTCTAGTAATTTTTCTTCCAATTTTACGTCTTCTCAGCTCTCTGGCCTTGGGAGTAGACATGAAGGCACAGAAGCCCTTGGATGGTGAAAGAGGATGAAATCATTTAAGCCTCCCATTAGTGAGAGGGTCAGTGCATGAGGGGGACACTGGTGCAGAGGGAGGCCCTGTCCCACTAAAATCAGCCTGGAAAGGAAGGGATGAGTCTTGTGTGCAGGGTCTATCTGCTCTGCTCGTGTCATGGGTTGCTGGAGGTCACGGGAGGTAAATAATGTGAAAGCTCTCTGAAAACTTCAAAACGACTGGGCCATTTTTATCATCATCATCATCTCCCCATTCTGTCACTGCACTGCCCTTGAAGTCACAAGTACCAGGGCTTGTCCTCACCCTGGGCACTGGGAAGCACCCCCTTCCTGAAACTCTCTGGAGTAGAACTTGTATAGGGCATTGTGCCAGCCTTGAGGTTAACAAAAACAACAAAATTAGGAGGCCTGGGAAACTAAGTTCAGGAAATGCTGCATATTACACCCCCTTTTGAGAGTCATATTTAGCATCTTAAAGATATGAGAGGCTCTTTAGTAAAAATATCAGTAACCAGCTCAGTATTGAGTCTAGCATTTGCTACATATGTTATTTCCCTAGGGGTGCTAAAACAAAGTTCCACAAATTGGGTGGCCTTAACGGAAGAGAAATTAATTTTCTCACAGTTCTGGTGACAGAAAGTCAGAAATCAAGGTGTTGGTAGAGCCATGCTCCCTCTGCAGACTCTCCAGAAGAACCCACCTTGCTTTTTTCTAGCTTCTGGTGGTTGCCAATAATCTTTGGCCTTCCTTGTCTTATAGACTCATCACTCTGATCTCTGCCTCCATCATCACACAGCATTCTGCTTATACGTGTGTCCGAATTTCCCTCTTCTGATAGGGATATCACTCACTGGATTAGGGGCCCATCCTAATCTAGCATGATTTCATTTTAGCTTGATTACACATTTGCCAAGATACTATTTCCAAATAAGGTTACACCCTCAGGTTCTGGGTTGAGACTTCAACATATCTTTTGAGGGGACACAAGTCAACCCATAACACCAAGCTTATTTGAACACGGAGCACTTTCATCAATCGCTCAACTAGGAAAAGCCAATGGACATCCTCAGAACACTCCTCACATAACACCTTCCTGGAACCACAACCCTCAGTGCCTCACTTGTATAACACTAGGACAAGATCTTCTTGAAAAGAAAAACACACAAAGCAATTGCTAGCTTGCACTTAATTAAAAAAAACAATTGTTGAGCAACTTCAGGTCCTGGGCTAGGGCTGTGAGGGATTTGGGGATGAATGAGGGAAGAGTCTCTACTCTTGTGAATGAGTGACCCAAAAGGAGACCTTACTTCTCGGACAAGGTAATCTACATGCTTCAAGAAAGAGTTGGAAGAGATGAGGGAGAGGTGGCATTTGACAAAGATGAAGGACAGAGAGCATGCAGACTGCAGAAGCAATGTGAGCAAGGCCAGAGGCAAGAAAGGTGGGTTATATTCATAGTCTTGAACGCGAGGAGGGGAACAGGGGAAATAAGGCAAAAAGCAGGTCTAAGGCACAGAGTGCACTCATGTTACTGAAACAATCTCCAATCCCACTGTGATTTAGCATGGACTCCATTCCCTCTGCTAATAGCCTTTCCCACATCTCACTTTACAGATATAATCAAGAGTCTCCAAAAGTCACATAGTGTGAAGTTGCAACTGGTCATCCATTTGGAGCACTGAGCCCTGGATGGAGATGCTACCTCTGAGTTAGGTGCAATATTAAAACAAAACAGAAACAGGAAAATATCTTAGGTTTTGTGGTCCAGAGGCTACTTCTCCAGAATCTCCTAGACCTGTAAACTGAGCAGAAAAATTCAGAGTGTTGCTGATTTGCTCTTCTTTCAGTTCCTAGTCAAGTCAGAGCTCAGGAACCAATCTGAAGTGTTTGTTGCTGGACGATAATGTCTTATTCTTATTTGTAGGAATAATAATTTATTGAAATAGTCACACTGCCCCTATTATTTTTATACTCACACAGTATTCTCAAGAAGACTAACAACCTTCTCAGACCTAAAAATACTTGGAACCAACCTGCAAGATCCCACTCTTCCGTCCTTCCTGCTAGGTTATAAGGATTGACATTAAGGCACTGGGAAATTTCGGAAACTTGAAAACACTCAACTTTGATGGGAACATGCAAGAAAGACGTCATTCACAGTAGGAAGAAAAAAGTTTATGTGATGTTAGGACAAATTTGCCAGTACCAACCCAAAACACATGCTCCCAGTCAGCCAGTTGTTAAGGCTGCTGCTTCCAGAGACAAAGGGGCTATGGAAGAGCAGAGCGGAGCCCAAACACACCCTTGCTCATCCTTGGACATTCAGTCTTCTATGGATTTGGAGCGTGGACCGATCAAACCTTTTCATGACTTTGGACAAAAGCACACAAGGTTCTCTCATACCCCAGTCTTAGTATTTAGAGACATTTCTAACATAAGGACAGTCAGAGTCCAAAACAGGTTTATATGAGATTCTGTAATGCAAATTGATTCCAAACATTCATGCTCAGGGGTACTAACATGAATACAATAGTATTCAAAACCAAAGTTCACTCCAACTTCTCTCCTAATGGCCATTTCTCTCCAGTTTACATTCTCATCATGCTCATTGTGAAAACAACTTTTAATAAGAACATGCCTTCCTTCCCTGCCTGCCCAACTTCATCCAATTTCTTTTGGTTTTGATACCCAAACAATGTAGTTTACCCTATAGGTACAGTTCACAGGACACTGAATACAAAACCAAATGGGAATAGAAACCAGAATGTTCATCCTAGAACCACAGCACATGGGTCCTTTGAAGCCAGCAGTCCAGCACCATGGACAGCAGAAAGCAATTATTTCAATGCCTATACCAATACAAGATAATGTCAGAAGTTTAGGTTTCTAAGCTCTAGAAACAGACTTTGATACCATGGCCATCTTGTCTTCCATTCTGATGCATAAAATAAGAACTAATCATGAGTCAAGGATATGTTAGCTTTATGAGTCAATATGGAATTTGCTCACTTTTGTAGATCACCACTCTTTCTGGAGACAGTGCCACAGAGGATGTGGTCAAAGCTAAAACCAAAAGCTAGAGCCTAGACCAAGAACTCACTTTGGTTTCTGACTGCATCCTCCTCTCTCTGCAATTAAGGGGTGATTGGTGATGATTCTATAAATCATACAAAAAACATTCTCTTATCGGAGACTAGATATTGCTGAAAGTGAATAAAGGAGACTACAATGCCACTAAAAGATTTCAGAAATTACCACCCATATGTACTTACCTCAGAGATCAGAAAATAATGTGCTAGAGGAATGGTGGGAGGGAAAATAGAACAATGTGGCATTGTTTTCAAAAGGGAAATGAATTGGTTATTTCTATTTCAGCTTAGCTAAAGCTAAGAATCTAATCAGAAATATTTTTCACAGTGGCATCTTTCCCCAGTTTGAAATACCTCAAACCATAAACCATTTTTTATTGTTGATGTTGTTTTTGCTGGGTGAACTAAATAATGACTCCAAACTACACTAAAAAATGAAGCTTCTCTCAAGACTGTAAACATGATCATGAATCAGTCAGTACCCCAGTCCCCACCTTGGATACTTGAAGGTAGAAGACATAGTTCCCACAAAAAAGCAAATCTGGCTTCAGCTCTTAGTGTCCCTAGAGGCAAGTGCCAAATAGTCATCACCCAGAAAAGGCCACATGAAATTTCAAAGAACAGGCTGCTCACTGTCTGATGTTCATCTTAGCTTCAACAAACTGCTTACAAAATGTCAACACTGAGAATAAAATAGGTACAGATGCATTTCCCTTACCTCCTCTTCTTGTGACTTCAAAGCTTCTGGATTCCTGCAAGAAAAGAAAGACTTTGTTTTTGAAGAATAATTCATATGTAGAGATACTTGTAGATATCTCACCTTTGTTAGCCATTTATTCATAGAAAGGTGAATAATCTCATAAGAACATGACATTTAGCAATGTTGGGTCTGCTAAACTCTCAACACACATACACATCTATAAAGGTAAACAACTTCTTACTTTGGGGGCTTAGCCAAAAAACTATATTGCTAAGCATTCAGTTTTTAATGAACAGAGTCAACTCTTATGGTCTTACTTGCATGGAATCTGGGCTACTACCAAGTATTAAGGAAGACCTTTTTCCATGTCAAGGCCTCCTGCCTTCCACCCTAGAGTACAGGTGCTTGTAGGGCCTGGGGAAAATGTATTACCTGACCAGCAGCAGGTTCTGATCTGTAGTGTCATGGTGGAGACCACCACTGCTCCTGTGTGGGTGACTGGCATGGTCTGCTGATTGATTAGGCTCAACTCAGTAGTTTCCAAAGGGTAGGATCTTATGGACAGTTTGGATAGCCAGTCCACACCACTAGACTAAACGGAACCCTTGATCTTTCTTAATTCAATCCCATCTCCTGCTATGTGCAGGGCAATAAGCAAAGTGTTTCAGAAGGTACATGGGTAAATCATGCAGAGTTCCTGCACTGATGATATTCACAGTTGAACAGGAGGCTAAAGAACAAACACAAATTGCTGAGAAATAAAGGGGTGATTTTGACTTGGTAAATACCAGTATATCCATATTCAGCTGCAAGCATAAGGAAAAGAGTTTTTAAAAGAACCTTTGAAAATAGCACTGAAGAATAGCAGGCCTGCAGACAGGAGTAAGGGAGGGAGGGTACACCAGGAAGAAAGAATGGCCTAAAACAAGGTAGAGTGATGGGAAAGTACAGGGAATACTCAGGACACAGGAAAAGGCCCAGTAGGAGAAAAAAATAAGGAAGAAGGGGTGGAAAGATTTATTATGGTTCTTAACTAATAAGTATCTACTATTCACCATAAATAACCAGTTTAGGATAAAAAGCCTAATATTGAGAGTAAGCTGAAAATCCATGCTAGCAACTGAGGAAGAGAAGAGAAAACACCAGACTTGGGCCAGCTTCTTACCATTGCATCCAAGAAGACCGTGTGGCACCCAGCATGTTTTTAACAAATGATGCTGTCTTTCACACCTTCACGTTCTGCCTAGCATCCTTTTGGGGTCAAGAAGAGAAGACAATTTTAGAGATGACACTAAGGAAAAATTTTCAGATGACTGTATGGGTATGCAAAAAGAATAAAGAACACCAGAATAGGCTAAAAGAGGTATAAACCTAATTTTGGCTGCTTAGCACAACAGCAATAATGCTTCCAAGGTCATGATATTTGGAAAAATAAAATACATGACAGTATGATTGCAGAAGATCAGGAGGTCAAATGGAATTAAAGTATTACAATGTCACATCACTGTCCAAGAAATGGTAAAGTTAGTGCTATGAGGCCAAAGGAGTAGAATAACAAAAAACTGAATAGTCCAAAAAAGACAAGAAATGATAGGGGAAGAAAAGGAATAGAAAAGCAGA